CCGTCCCTGGAGCCTGGCCAGCAGAGAATTCACAAACGCTGAGCACCAGTGGGAAATCCCTGGGATGGGGCCGGGGCTGATCCTGAGAGTTCAGCCCTGACCACGTGGGTCCCATCCTGCACAGGGGAGACCTGGAGCTGTGTGTGGGGTGAAGGAGCTGAGCAGGCACTGGAGGGCAGCAGGGGAAGGATGTGGCTGGACTAATGGGGGCTTGGCTGGTCCTGCAGCCTTCCTCCTCCTCCTCACAGAAGGGAGACTGTCCTTGCAGGGTGCCCCTGGCTGACACATGTGCCCTCTCTCTCCAGGCTGTTCCTCTAAGTCATTCAAGCTGTACTCGCCAAAGGAGCCCCCGAACGGCAACGCCTTCCCCCCATTCCACCCGGGCACCATGCTGGATCGAGATGTGGGGTAAGCTGGGGCCCAGGGAGGGGTCTGTGACACTGGCGTTCTCTGTGGTCTGCACCCCAGGGTCTCTCTCTCAGGTTCCCCAGCAGCATATGGAGACAGTGGCATATGAAGTTGAGTTAGCACAAGGGGAGAGATGGGATCAGAGCAGACACAAGCAGGACTGGGTGGAGAAAGGGCAATATTTGAGAAAAAGGGAGCTCTTAGGTTCCTGAGCTCTGCAGAGCCAAGCCCCTTGGATGATCCAGGACAGGCAGCACTCCCAGCTCCTGCTGCAGCAGCCCCTTCTCCAGCCTCCAACCTGCTTGGCACCAACCCCAGCTGCAGAGGAGCCAAGCATGTCTCCAGAGAGCTGTGGGCCAGATCCTGGGTGTGGTGGAGAAGCCACCTGTGTTGCAGAGCCCAGTTTAAGGGTTGCAGGTCACCACAAGGGGCCACTGTATGCCAGCAGCCAGGCTGCAGCCCATGCCACGCTTGGGGTCTCACCTCCAGCAAGCCCAACTGCCTGCTGCTGGAGGCAGGGAAGGGCAAGCTGCAGCAGGCAGGGAGAGAGATGCTCACCAGCTCTGACCTGCCTGCATTTTTTTCCCCTCCAGACCTACTCCCATGTACCCACCAACGTACCTGGAGCCTGGAATCGGGTAAGCATGGGGCAGTGGTGAAGACCTTGCTGAAAGGGGAGCTCATGCCCATGGTGGCAGTGCCTCAGCACGGCCAGCATGCTGATGTCTGGGGTATGAGGGGGGTTGCTCGGACTCTGCCCAGCCCTGGAGGGGCTGTGCATCCCCCTGCCACAGGCTCAGGACCCCTCCCCACCCTGTGGCTGCCTCCCCCTCTGACTGCTTGCTCTGCTCCCTGGGCAGGAGGCACACGCCGTATGGGAACCAGACCGACTACAGGATATTCGAGCTGAACAAGCGGCTGCAGAACTGGACAGAGGTGGGGAGCTGAGGGAGAGGGGCATGGCCAGGGGCAGGGGGATGCTCCCAGGTGTGTGTTTGGGGGATGGGGTCCTCTGCACTGCCTGCCCTTGTGAGCTGCCTTGGCTCTAGGAGGAATCCCCTTGGCAACAGGGTCCCACCCCACTGTGTGGGTCACCGATCGCCTTGTCCCTCACTTGGCCATGGGATAGGGTTCATCATCCCTGCCTCTGAGTGCTTGGCCAGAAGCGCAACCCTCTTGTGGGCCGAGCTTGTGGCTTCTGTACTGGGCAGCCAGCAGCTGGCTGGCTGGCTCCGTTCCTTCCAGTAACCTGGTGTCTCTCCGTTGTCCGCAGGAATGTGACAATCTGTGGTGGGACGCCTTTACCACAGAGTTCTTCGAGGATGACGCCATGTTAACTATCACTTTCTGCTTGGAGGATGGACCAAAGAGATACAGTGAGTAGCAGCTTGAGCTCTCCTTCCCCAGGGCTTTGCCCCTCTGGCAGGACATGTGGCAGTTTCGCTGTGCTGCGGGGGGATGCGGGCAGGGAGCCGGAGCTCAGCTGCCTCCAGCCAGCAGAGACTGGGGAACCCCCTCCCTGAGCAGCCCCAAGGCATGTCTGGGTGAGCTGTGTTTACTGACACTGTCTTCCTCCTTCTCCCGCTCCAGCGATTGGCCGGACTCTGATTCCCCGTTACTTCCGCAGCATCTTTGAAGGGGGGGCTACGGAGCTCTACTACGTGCTCAAGCACCCCAAGGAGTCCTTCCACAACAACTTCGTCTCGCTGGACTGCGACCAGTGCACCATGGTCACCCAGCACGGCAAGCCCATGTTCACCCAGGTACCAGCGGCACCCATGGCTTCTCCTGCCCCTCATGCCTTGGTCCGGTGCGCCTGCACGGCGGCTGCAGTCCCACAGGGTGAGGGACGCTCAGTCCCGTGACTTGTCGAGTGCCACTCTGTAATTCCATGTGCCTCAGCCAGCCCCACAGCATCCTCTTTTTGCAGAGGTCTCCTGCCCATTGTGGGTTTGCCCTGTGCCGAGGCTCATGACAGGCAGGGGCAAGCCACCGGGAGGGTGTCCCGGGGGGTCTGGGCTGGGGAAAGTGGGAGCAGCCTGTTCCTGACCCTGCATCCTGCCCAGGTGTGTGTGGAGGGGCGGCTTTACCTTGAGTTCATGTTCGACGACATGATGAGGATAAAGACGTGGCATTTCAGCATCCGCCAGCATCGAGAGCTCATCCCCCGCAGCATCCTTGCCATGCATGTGAGTACCGCTCCGGGAGCTCTGCCGCAGCATAAAGGACAGAGCTGCCGAGCTCCCCTCCCTGCTGCACTGTCCGGGGGGGACCTCGACCCTGTCACCCCATCGCAGGCCGGAGTGCAGGAGGGCCGTCCCCAGCCTGGATGCAGCTGAGCCTTCTGTCCCTCTCACTCCTAGGCACAAGACCCCCAGATGCTGGACCAGTTATCAAAGAACATCACCCGCTGTGGGCTCTCAAACTCCACACTCAACTACCTCCGAGTAAGTGCGGGGGGTGGGTGGGAGACACCTCCAGTGGCCATGTCTTGTGTTGTCAGCTGCCTGACGCCTGGCTGCGTTGGGGAGGCAACAGGGCAGAGTCTGCAAGATAGATCTTGCAATAGGGCTGCAGAGAGTTGTGAGGTGGTGAGTCTGCTGGAGCCCACAGGCTCCCAGCACAGCTTGGGTTGGTGCAGTGTAGACATCTGCCTGTCACAGGGCCTGGAGCATCATGATCTAACCCCGCATCTTTCTGCTCCCTGCAGCTCTGTGTAATCCTAGAACCAATGCAGGAGCTCATGTCACGACATAAGACCTACAGCCTCAGTCCTCGGGACTGCCTCAAGACTTGCCTCTTCCAGAAGTGGCAGCGGATGGTCGCTCCGCCTGGTGAGTGTCACGCTGCCTGCTGCGCTTCTCGTGGGTCTCTGGGGCCAACTGCTCAGCCCCTGCCCTCGGCACAGGCTTCTCCCAGCTGCAGAGCCCGTCCTCAGCCTCTTCTTGTGAGGCTGGGGATGGCAAGTCCGGCAGCCGGCTTCCTTCTCTGGGTCCTGGGCGCCCGACAGCCAGCAATCCCTGCCCGGGGGCTGCCAGTGCCCAGGGGAAGCAAAGCAGGGACTGAAATCTTCCCTGCACCCTCCTGCCCCCTGCACTGGGAGGACGGTGAAGCTGTGGAGGGGAGGAGGGTGGCGATGCTGCCCGGGGAGGGGGTTGTGGTCCTCCTTGCAGGGAAGGAGCTGGGGGGCTCTGGCTCCTCCTTGTCAGAAGTGACCATGTCTCCCTCCTCTGCCAGCGGAGCCAGCACGGCAGCAGCCCAGCAAGCGC